ACTACAAAGACCTGTGTACAAAGCTAAACAAAACAAAGAAAGACATCAGACAGCTAAAACAGACAGTAGAAGAAGAAAACCAACTCAAACTACTCAGTGAAATGAACAAAGGACCAACACAACAGAATTTCTGGAAAGCAGTAAAAAAGCTCACAGGCACAAGATCTAAACGAACGAGTAAACTGAAAATGACAAATCAAGACGCTGCGAACCACTTCGCTAAGATGCTCAAAGCAAACATGACGACAAATATAACAAACTCTCAGGCAGCTCTAACACATGAACAGGAAGTACATGACAAGGTGTCACAGGCGAAAATCCAAGACTTTCAACTGGAACAGACAGGTTTTGCACAAACAGAAATTAGCTTAAAGCAACTCAAAGACGTGATCAATCACAGAAAAAACACTGCCCCAGGACAAGACAAAGTTAGCTACAAAGCGATGAAAAACCTGCCCATCAACGTACTAGAAGTACTAAGACAAATCATAGTACAATCGCTGAGAAGTGGCTACGTTCCTTTAGGCTGGAAACAAGCGACAGTATCAATGTTACCAAAACCCGAGAAAGACCACAAAGATCCCAAAAACTATAGACCACTCTCACTTACAAGCTGTATCGGGAAGATCTGCGAATGTTTTGTCAAAGAGCAGCTACTAGTACACTGCGAAGATCACGACATCTTCGGACACTTTCAAAGTGCATACCGAAGCAAACGATGCACCACCGACAATTTACTCTGTCTAACAGAGACAATCTATAAAGAGAATAACTGGAAGCAACCCGTTGCAGCAGCATTTCTAGACGTGCAACGAGCCTTTGACTCTGTCTGGCACGAAGGCTTATACTACAGACTACTAGAGATCAACTGTCCGAAGTGGATTGTAAAATGGACCAAGAGTTTTCTGACAGACCGACAGTTAACAGTAGTATACCACCAAGCCAAAGCCGAAAGTTTCACACCCAGTGCAGGAGTACCACAAGGAAGTGTAATCAGTCCAATCCTTTTCAACATCTATGTAAGCAAACCAGAAGCAGGTCTAACAACAATATCACAATATGCCGACGACATAGCAATTTACACAAGTTCAAACACAAGCAAGAATGCAACACACAGACTACAAGGTGGCCTAAACAAACTTGAAGCATGGTGCCAGAAATGGAAGATAGACGTGAACCCGGAGAAGACAAACTTTGTACTTTTTACAAGACGCAAGAAGAATGACTGCAAATTAATGCTACAGAACGAAGAGATCGAACCATCAACAACCACTAAATTTCTTGGAGTTACCCTAAATAACAACCTGACATGGAAAGACTATCTACAAAGAATTGAAGACAAATCGACAAGGAAAATCAATTTTCTACTAGTACTACGAGCCAAAGGCATCAAATCCAAAGTCTTAAAGTTTTTGTACCAATCAACAATTCTACCAGGATTCACATACGCATCACCTTCGTGGGCAAACGCATCAACAAGTCACTTACAAAGATTGCAGAACAGAGCACTAAAAATAGCCTACCATCTACCAATACTAACACCAACAGAGGAAGTACATAAAATCACCAGGATGAAGACGATTCAAGATGAACTAACAAGACTAAACTCAAATTACCTCAAAAGAGCTTCACAGACAAACCCCAAGATACAAGAACTAATCCGAGACACTCTACAACAATCAACAGACACATACGCACACAGACTCACACCAATACAAGCAATTTTCCAACAACACCTTTCCGCAAGATGAACAACATCAAACGACACTCTACAACAATCAACAGACACAGACTCACACCAATACAAGCAATTTTCCAACAACAACTTTCCGCAAGATGAACAACACCCGGAAGTTAACAGCTTAAAGAGCAGCAGGTCTGCTTCAGAAGCTTAACTGGTCACAGACCAACACATACTTACATTGGGTAAAGTCAATCGTCAATCTACAACTTCTACCACAACAGCTACAACTACAACACGATGTCAGGCAAAGGAGGAAAATCGAAGAGCGGCAAAGTTGGAGCCAAGGCCAAGACCCGATCAAGCCGAGCTGGACTGCAGTTCCCTGTTGGAAGAATCCACCGATTCATCCGCAAGGGCAACTACGCTGAGCGAGTTGGCGCTGGAGCCCCAGTCTACCTTGCTGCTGTGCTCGAGTACTTGACTGCTGAGATCCTTGAGCTGGCTGGCAACGCTGCCAAAGACAACAAGAAGTCCAGGATCATCCCCAGACACTTGCAGTTGGCCATCAGGAACGACGAAGAGTTGAACAAGCTGCTCCACGGAGTGACCATTGCTCAGGGCGGTGTGCTGCCAAACATCCAGGCTGTGCTCCTACCCAAGAAGCAGTCTTCGTCTCAGCCCAAGTCTGACAAGAAGTAAAGAGCTTCTACCTCAACCAGTTGCTAGCTTTCAAGCTTCAACACCAAACCGGCCTTTTTAAAGGCCACCAATCTACTAGTTCTATCTTCTATCAAGCCCAGCAAGCTTAACTGGAATACAAACAGTAAGCTGAGACATCCTAGCAATCCTAAATAGCCTCAAAGTGACGTAGAAATTAAAAATTGAAGCCAAAATAAGCTTGGAGCTGAGAGCCAATCAGAATTGAGCATTCTTCGAGCTCGATTTGAACACAGTTTTTTAAGTTAGCTTCGCTTTTTGCTGCTTCTACAACTCGACAACACCACAACTACAACTCTACAATGGCACCCAAAGTCAGCGGAAAGGCAGTCAAGAAGGCAGGCAAAGCCCAGAAGAAGCCCACTGGAGACAAGAAAAAGAAGAAGAAGAGGCGAGAGACCTACTCTCTCTACATCTACAAGGTGCTGAAGCAGGTCCACCCTGACACCGGCATCTCATCCAAGGCTATGTCGATCATGAACAGCTTCGTGAACGACATCTTCGAGAGAATCGCCGGTGAAGCTTCAAAACTGGCCCACTACAACAAGCGATCAACCATCTCTAGCCGGGAGATCCAAACCGCAGTCAGACTGCTGTTGCCCGGAGAGCTGGCCAAGCATGCTGTCAGTGAGGGAACCAAGGCCGTCACCAAGTACACCAGCTCCAAGTAGACGATCAGCTTCTACAACTAGTTGCTCTGAGCAACACCAAACCGGCCTTTTTAAAGGCCACCAAAAAGCATAGTTCTCTTTGTACTCTAGCTAGCAAGCTCAAATTGGCTTGTATGCAATTTCGAGCTCTCAACAGCTAGCTTTGAGCGTCTAATTTGAGCTACTAAGCTCAACTGAGCTTGTAACTTGCTTAAATCAGCTCCAGACCAACTTTAGAGCTAAAAAACTGCTAAATTTTAAGCTTTCACGTCTCAGCCAATCAGATTTGAGCTTCATTTTGCTCTCCAACTTACAGCTCGAAATAGCTAAGTTTAGGCTTACAAAGCTAGCTAACAAGTCCAATTCAGCTAGCTTAAGCTGAAGTGAGCTTTTAGCTGGCTGAAGTTAGCTTTGGGTCAATTCTAGAGGCAGAAACACCAAATTTTCAAAAGTTTTCACTTCTCAGCCAATCAGATTCGAGCTTAGTTTGAGCTTCCGCTATCACTCAGACACGGGCCAATCACCTATGCCGCTTTTGGCGGGTAACCTCCAATCCAAGTATAAATAGTCTGCACTTCACATACTTTACTATATATAGTTGAAAATGCTCCTTAATATATATAAGTAACGACTCACCAGAGCTCTCCTTCTATTGCTCTTTTACGTGCCTAACTATTTTTTTATACGTCGAGCGCTCTCAAGGCTTCTGGAGATCTGAATATCTTGGTTACCTCACGGATTTGTCCAAAATTCAACACCCAAAATCTACTTCTACATCTACAACTCAGCTACACTCAACTGACGAAGAATGGCCCGAACGAAGCAGACTGCACGAAAGAGTACCGGAGGAAAGGCACCCAGGAAGCAACTGGCTACCAAGGCTGCAAGAAAGAGCGCACCTTCCACCGGCGGTGTGAAGAAGCCTCACCGATACAGACCAGGAACCGTTGCCCTGAGGGAGATCAGGAGATACCAGAAGTCCACTGAGCTGTTGATCCGAAAGCTGCCCTTCCAGCGACTGGTCAGAGAAATCGCCCAGGACTTCAAGACTGACTTGCGGTTCCAGAGCACTGCAATCATGGCTCTGCAGGAAGCCAGCGAGAGCTACTTGGTCAGCCTGTTCGAGGACACCAACTTGTGCGCGATCCACGCCAAGAGAGTCACGATCATGCCCAAGGACATCCAGTTGGCTCGACGAATCCGAGGAGAGCGAGCTTAAGCTCTAGGTGTACTCCACACCAACCAAACCGGCCTTTTTAAAGGCCACCCAACTATCAGTTCTATATTTCTTCACAGTGAGCTTAGCTCAAGCTAACTTCGACCAGAGCAAGCTCAAGCTGGTATAGGTTGAGCTCTGCTTCCCCCTCATTGGGGTGACGCAGCTGGAAAATGAGCTCGAGCTAGCTGTTCAATTGCTCCCGTACGTAGCCTAACTTTTTTGAGCTTCGAGCTCTCAGAGCTTGGCAAGCTACCTCATAGAGCTCAGGCAAGCTTGTATGAGCTTGATTTAAATCACAGAGCTCGAATAAGCTCTGTGGACTGACCAGTTTAAGCTAGTACACCTTGTGTGAGCTCAAAATTTTTTCAATTGCTCCCGTACGTAGCCTAACTATTTTCAAGTTCGAGCTCTCAGAGCTCGGCAAGCTATCTCACAGACCTCAAGCGAGCTCCTACGAGCTTGATTTAAATCACATAGCTCTGATAAGCTCTGTGGACTGACCAGTTTGAGGTAGAAGTTCTTGTGGGAGCTCAAAATTTTTTTTTCAATTGCTCCTTTACGTGCCTAACTTTTTTTACTTTTTATTATCTGCTCTCTCATTGGCTGTTGGTATGAGGGCCAATCAGAGAGCAGAGAAGTCGGTCGGAAATTGATAGATACCTAGCGATTTTTGCCAATCTCAAACCCAACTTCTACTTCAATTTCTACAACAACTACAACTGCAACAACCATGTCTGGACGAGGAAAGGGAGGAAAAGGACTTGGCAAAGGAGGAGCAAAGAGGCACCGAAAGATCTTAAGAGATAACATCCAAGGCATCACCAAGCCAGCCATCAGACGTCTTGCTCGACGAGGAGGTGTCAAGCGTATCAGTGGACTGATCTACGAAGAGACCCGAGGAGTGCTCAAGAACTACTTGGAGAGCGTGATCAGGGATGCTGTAACCTACACCGAGCACGCCAAGAGGAAGACCGTTGTAGCCATGGACATCGTCTACGCCCTCAAGAGACAAGGCAAGACCTTGTACGGATTCGGAGGTTAAGAAGCTTCTTAGCCAGCTGCTCTCCTAGCTGCAGCACCAAACCGGCCTTTTTAAAGGCCACCAACTATCTCAGTTCTTAAGTCAAGCTCTACTAGAGCTCTAACGAGCTCTGCTAGAGCTCTTAACAAGCTCAGCTAGTTAGTGTAGAGCTTTCAGCATATCTAAAATAACTTAAAATGCTAGCTGGATTCTGATTGGCTCTCCCATCTTGGTGGCCGATTTGAACTTACTACCCTAAGACAGGGAGCCAAATTGCGGGTAAAGTCAATCGTCAATCTACAACTTCTACCACAACAGCTACAACTACAACACGATGTCAGGCAAAGGAGGAAAATCGAAGAGCGGCAAAGTTGGAGCCAAGGCCAAGACCCGATCAAGCCGAGCTGGACTGCAGTTCCCTGTTGGAAGAATCCACCGATTCATCCGCAAGGGCAACTACGCTGAGCGAGTTGGCGCTGGAGCCCCAGTCTACCTTGCTGCTGTGCTCGAGTACTTGACTGCTGAGATCCTTGAGCTGGCTGGCAACGCTGCCAAAGACAACAAGAAGTCCAGGATCATCCCCAGACACTTGCAGTTGGCCATCAGGAACGACGAAGAGTTGAACAAGCTGCTCCACGGAGTGACCATTGCTCAGGGCGGTGTGCTGCCAAACATCCAGGCTGTGCTCCTACCCAAGAAGCAGTCTTCGTCTCAGCCCAAGTCTGACAAGAAGTAAAGAGCTTCTACCTCAACCAGTTGCTAGCTTTCAAGCTTCAACACCAAACCGGCCTTTTTAAAGGCCACCAATCTACTAGTTCTATCTTCTATCAAGCCCAGCAAGCTTAACTGGAATACAAACAGTAAGCTGAGACATCCTAGCAATCCTAAATAGCCTCAAAGTGACGTAGAAATTAAAAATTGAAGCCAAAATAAGCTTGGAGCTGAGAGCCAATCAGAATTGAGCATTCTTCGAGCTCGATTTGAACACAGTTTTTTAAGTTAGCTTCGCTTTTTGCTGCTTCTACAACTCGACAACACCACAACTACAACTCTACAATGGCACCCAAAGTCAGCGGAAAGGCAGTCAAGAAGGCAGGCAAAGCCCAGAAGAAGCCCACTGGAGACAAGAAAAAGAAGAAGAAGAGGCGAGAGACCTACTCTCTCTACATCTACAAGGTGCTGAAGCAGGTCCACCCTGACACCGGCATCTCATCCAAGGCTATGTCGATCATGAACAGCTTCGTGAACGACATCTTCGAGAGAATCGCCGGTGAAGCTTCAAAACTGGCCCACTACAACAAGCGATCAACCATCTCTAGCCGGGAGATCCAAACCGCAGTCAGACTGCTGTTGCCCGGAGAGCTGGCCAAGCATGCTGTCAGTGAGGGAACCAAGGCCGTCACCAAGTACACCAGCTCCAAGTAGACGATCAGCTTCTACAACTAGTTGCTCTGAGCAACACCAAACCGGCCTTTTTAAAGGCCACCAAAAAGCATAGTTCTCTTTGTACTCTAGCTAGCAAGCTCAAATTGGCTTGTATGCAATTTCGAGCTCTCAACAGCTAGCTTTGAGCGTCTAATTTGAGCTACTAAGCTCAACTGAGCTTGTAACTTGCTTAAATCAGCTCCAGACCAACTTTAGAGCTAAAAAACTGCTAAATTTTAAGCTTTCACGTCTCAGCCAATCAGATTTGAGCTTCATTTTGCTCTCCAACTTACAGCTCGAAATAGCTAAGTTTAGGCTTACAAAGCTAGCTAACAAGTCCAATTCAGCTAGCTTAAGCTGAAGTGAGCTTTTAGCTGGCTGAAGTTAGCTTTGGGTCAATTCTAGAGGCAGAAACACCAAATTTTCAAGTTTTCACTTCTCAGCCAATCAGATTCGAGCTTAGTTTGAGCTTCCGCTATCACTCAGACACGGGCCAATCACCTATGCCGCTTTTGGCGGGTAACCTCCAATCCAAGTATAAATAGTCTGCACTTCACATACTTTACTATATATAGTTGAAAATGCTCCTTAATATATATAAGTAACGACTCACCAGAGCTCTCCTTCTATTGCTCTTTTACGTGCCTAACTATTTTTTTATACGTCGAGCGCTCTCAAGGCTTCTGGAGATCTGAATATCTTGGTTACCTCACGGATTTGTCCAAAATTCAACACCCAAAATCTACTTCTACATCTACAACTCAGCTACACTCAACTGACGAAGAATGGCCCGAACGAAGCAGACTGCACGAAAGAGTACCGGAGGAAAGGCACCCAGGAAGCAACTGGCTACCAAGGCTGCAAGAAAGAGCGCACCTTCCACCGGCGGTGTGAAGAAGCCTCACCGATACAGACCAGGAACCGTTGCCCTGAGGGAGATCAGGAGATACCAGAAGTCCACTGAGCTGTTGATCCGAAAGCTGCCCTTCCAGCGACTGGTCAGAGAAATCGCCCAGGACTTCAAGACTGACTTGCGGTTCCAGAGCACTGCAATCATGGCTCTGCAGGAAGCCAGCGAGAGCTACTTGGTCAGCCTGTTCGAGGACACCAACTTGTGCGCGATCCACGCCAAGAGAGTCACGATCATGCCCAAGGACATCCAGTTGGCTCGACGAATCCGAGGAGAGCGAGCTTAAGCTCTAGGTGTACTCCACACCAACCAAACCGGCCTTTTTAAAGGCCACCCAACTATCAGTTCTATATTTCTTCACAGTGAGCTTAGCTCAAGCTAACTTCGACCAGAGCAAGCTCAAGCTGGTATAGGTTGAGCTCTGCTTCCCCCTCATTGGGGTGACGCAGCTGGAAAATGAGCTCGAGCTAGCTGTTCAATTGCTCCCGTACGTAGCCTAACTTTTTTGAGCTTCGAGCTCTCAGAGCTTGGCAAGCTACCTCATAGAGCTCAGGCAAGCTTGTATGAGCTTGATTTAAATCACAGAGCTCGAATAAGCTCTGTGGACTGACCAGTTTAAGCTAGTACACCTTGTGTGAGCTCAAAATTTTTCAATTGCTCCCGTACGTAGCCTAACTATTTTCAAGTTCGAGCTCTCAGAGCTCGGCAAGCTATCTCACAGACCTCAAGCGAGCTCCTACGAGCTTGATTTAAATCACATAGCTCTGATAAGCTCTGTGGACTGACCAGTTTGAGGTAGAAGTTCTTGTGGGAGCTCAAATTTTTTTTTTCAATTGCTCCTTTACGTGCCTAACTTTTTTTACTTTTTATTATCTGCTCTCTCATTGGCTGTTGGTATGAGGGCCAATCAGAGAGCAGAGAAGTCGGTCGGAAATTGATAGATACCTAGCGATTTTTGCCAATCTCAAACCCAACTTCTACTTCAATTTCTACAACAACTACAACTGCAACTACCATGTCTGGACGAGGAAAGGGAGGAAAAGGACTTGGCAAAGGAGGAGCAAAGAGGCACCGAAAGATCTTAAGAGATAACATCCAAGGCATCACCAAGCCAGCCATCAGACGTCTTGCTCGACGAGGAGGTGTCAAGCGTATCAGTGGACTGATCTACGAAGAGACCCGAGGAGTGCTCAAGAACTACTTGGAGAGCGTGATCAGGGATGCTGTAACCTACACCGAGCACGCCAAGAGGAAGACCGTTGTAGCCATGGACATCGTCTACGCCCTCAAGAGACAAGGCAAGACCTTGTACGGATTCGGAGGTTAAGAAGCTTCTTAGCCAGCTGCTCTCCTAGCTGCAGCACCAAACCGGCCTTTTTAAAGGCCACCAACTATCTCAGTTCTTAAGTCAAGCTCTACTAGAGCTCTAACGAGCTCTGCTAGAGCTCTTAACAAGCTCAGCTAGTTAGTGTAGAGCTTTCAGCATATCTAAAATAACTTAAAATGCTAGCTGGATTCTGATTGGCTCTCCCATCTTGGTGGCCGATTTGAACTTACTACCCTAAGACAGGGAGCCAAATTGCGGGTAAAGTCAATCGTCAATCTACAACTTCTACCACAACAGCTACAACTACAACACGATGTCAGGCAAAGGAGGAAAATCGAAGAGCGGCAAAGTTGGAGCCAAGGCCAAGACCCGATCAAGCCGAGCTGGACTGCAGTTCCCTGTTGGAAGAATCCACCGATTCATCCGCAAGGGCAACTACGCTGAGCGAGTTGGTGCTGGAGCCCCAGTCTACCTTGCTGCTGTGCTCGAGTACTTGACTGCTGAGATCCTTGAGCTGGCTGGCAACGCTGCCAAAGACAACAAGAAGTCCAGGATCATCCCCAGACACTTGCAGTTGGCCATCAGGAACGACGAAGAGTTGAACAAGCTGCTCCACGGAGTGACCATTGCTCAGGGCGGTGTGCTGCCAAACATCCAGGCTGTGCTCCTACCCAAGAAGCAGTCTTCGTCTCAGCCCAAGTCTGACAAGAAGTAAAGAGCTTCTACCTCAACCAGTTGCTAGCTTTCAAGCTTCAACACCAAACCGGCCTTTTTAAAGGCCACCAATCTACTAGTTCTATCTTCTATCAAGCCCAGCAAGCTTAACTGGAATACAAACAGTAAGCTGAGACATCCTAGCAATCCTAAATAGCCTCAAAGTGACGTAGAAATTAAAAATTGAAGCCAAAATAAGCTTGGAGCTGAGAGCCAATCAGAATTGAGCATTCTTCGAGCTCGATTTGAACACAGTTTTTTAAGTTAGCTTCGCTTTTTGCTGGGAAGGAGGGAAGGAGAAAGTGGGAAGGAGCTGGGAAGGAGGGAAGGAGGGAAGGAGGAAGGAGGGAAGGGTCTAGAGGGAAGGAGAAAGTGCCCAGAAGGACGAAGAGGGTGCAAGAAGAAAGAGACTAGAGGGAAGAGGAAGGACAAAGAGGAAGAAAGGAAGGACAAAGAGGAAGAAAGGAAGGACAAAGACGAAGAAGGTGCAAGAAGGAGCAGTCGGGCTCACATAGTGAGTGAAGATACTCCCCCCCCCCCCACAAGAGCAGTCCGGCTCACATAGTGAGTGAAGAAGGAGCACTCCGGTGCAAGAAGGAGCAGTCCGGCTCACATAGTGAGTGAAGAGACTCCCCCCCCCCCCCCACAATGCCATCATCCCTTAACTCCCAAATGGCATCAGCAATCGCAAACTACGACCAAAGCGACGACGAATCTAATTCCGAGTTAATAATCGAAGGAAGCCTGACACCAACAAGCAATGATCAAGGAAAGGCCTCGCCTCAAAGGCAACTGACAATGGGACCAAACCAAGATCAACATGCTGCTTACAACACAGTAAAACAACAACAGTTCAAGAATGTGCCCAAAGGGCAACCGACAATGCATTCAGAAAACTGGCAAGACAATCTTGATGACGCTTCGCCTAAAAGGCAACCGACAATGGAGCAAAGTCAAGCAACTAATCGAAAGCGCAAAGCGGAAGAATCACAAGCTCAAAGCAACAAAAGACCCTTCACAAGCTCAAAGCAACACTTCACGAACATTATCTACATAAGCTTTGCAAAAGACAAAATTCCAAGCCGAATGACTTTCACCAAATCAATACGTAACCTGACTAAAGTACAATATCCTGGTCAAACCAGGGACCTCAAGACTGGCCTAGGCTATTCAATCAAGCCTGAATCGCCTCAAATAGCCCAAATTATCACCCAAACCAACCTCGAAAACCTGTTTCCCGACACGGAAGTAAAAATCGGAGGCAGACAACACAAGACAAATCAACCCAACAAGAAACAAACTTCCAGCTTTGTTATCTCAAGAGTCAGTGAACAACTCAGCGAAGCTGACATCCAATCTGAACTTGAGGAGATCAACAACATCAAGGTAGCAAAGCTCTTCCGAATCCAAAGCAGAAGCCTAGACAAGCCAACACAACTCATCAGAGTTTTCACAGATGATGACCTAGCCTGCAGAAAGGCAATCGACATTGGGGTCTACATCTGCAACGAACGAAAACGATGCGAAGCATCCAAAACAGAACCACGAGTAACACAGTGTTACAAATGCCAAAATTTCGGCCATATGGCCATAAACTGTCCGAACCAGCAACGATGCCTCAGATGTGGCGACAACCATGCAGTCAGAGACTGCAGAACTCCAAAGCAGCAAGTTCAATGCATCAACTGCAGAGGCGAACACCCGGCGCAGTACAAAGGATGCCCGGTTTACAAGACAGCTCAAGTCGAAGCCCAAAAAGCACAACCAAAAGTGCAAAACTACGCTCAAGCAGTCAAACATCTGCAACGAACTGTGCAAAACAACTACGCTCAAGCAGTCAAACCACAACCAACCATGAGCAAAGAGGACATACAGCAGTACATTAAAGAAACTGTTGAAACTACAATAGCCGATCAAGTCGAAAAAGCAGTGCAAAAAGCCATGGACGAAAAGATAACCGATGCAATCACCAAAGCTGTCGCTAAATCATGTGAGAAAATTAACGAAACAGTCAGCAATGCAGTTAGAACTCAATTCGAGAAAATAGATTTCACTGAGCTGTTAACATCAAACATAAAAGCAAAACAAAATACAAAAACACACAGAGAAGCAAGCAGCAGCAGACATAGTAGCTCCCGAAATCAAAACAACAACAACAAACCAAAATGAATAGACTCAAGATAGCACAACTCAACTGCAGAAGTATAAACAAGCACAAACTGGAGATCCAAGATCTTCTAGCGAAACACAACATCACTATAGTCTGCTTCAACGAAACAAAAACCAAACATCCACCAAAACTACAAAACTTTAACCTTGCAGCGGCAATCTGTGACAGTGTCACAGGCTCGGCAATTTACATCAGAGACAACATACAGTACCAAGTACTGGAACAAGCACAGCACATAAACCAAAACCACAGAGAACGCAGAAAAGTATGCGAGACGATCAAGATCAACACAATGGGTATCACTGTAACAAGTGTTTACCTTAGCCCAAACGCAGAGATAGAGAACGTGACTTTCAATGGAAAAGATCCAAAGCACATCATCGTTGGAGACTTCAACGCACAGATCAAATCTGTCAACCCAAAAGCAAGAGCAACCAACAGCAACGGAAGAGTTGTAGACGCTCTCATGCACAACTACTTCATCTTGAACGGTTCCGAACCAACACACCAAAGTGACTCAGTCCTAGACTTACACTTTGCATCACCAAAAATGGCTTGCTTATGCACGAACTTTGAAGTGTCGGACACAACACCAAGCGATCACTACATGACAATTGCAGAGTACGAACTAACTGTTCCAAAGAGAACATGCACAAAACCAAACTGGCGAAAATTCAGAATTACTGTAACGAACTACAAGTTCAACCCTGACTCAATCAAAACTGACGAAGGTCTAGCTCGAGAAGCTGACCAGATAGCCAAACACATTGACAAATGCTACCAAGGCAGCCTCAAAGAACACAAGCCCCAATTCACGAACCCACAACTAGTCGAACTAGTCAGAAACAAACACAAACTTGAACGACAAAAACAAAAGATGAGACGATATGACCAACACGACACCAATGACTACAAAGACCTGTGTACAAAGCTAAACAAAACAAAGAAAGACATCAGACAGCTAAAACAGACAGTAGAAGAAGAAAACCAACTCAAACTACTCAGTGAAATGAACAAAGGACCAACACAACAGAATTTCTGGAAAGCAGTAAAAAAGCTCACAGGCACAAGACCTAAACGAACGAGTAAACTGAAAATGACAAATCAAGACGCTGCGAACCACTTCGCTAAGATGCTCAAAGCAAACATGACGACAAATATAACAAACTCTCAGGCAGCTCTAACGCATGAACAGGAAGTACATGACAAGGTGTCACAGGCGAAAATCCAAGACTTTCAACTGGAACAGACAGGTTTTGCACAAACAGAAATTAGCTTAAAGCAACTCAAAGACGTGATCAATCACAGAAAAAACACTGCCCCAGGACAAGACAAAGTTAGCTACAAAGCGATGAAAAACCTGCCCATCAACGTACTAGAAGTACTAAGACAAATCATAGTACAATCGCTGAGAAGTGGCTACGTTCCTTTAGGCTGGAAACAAGCGACAGTATCAATGTTACCAAAACCCGAGAAAGACCACAAAGATCCCAAAAACTATAGACCACTCTCACTTACAAGCTGTATCGGGAAGATCTGCGAATGTTTTGTCAAAGAGCAGCTACTAGTACACTGCGAAGATCACGACATCTTCGGACACTTTCAAAGTGCATACCGAAGCAAACGATGCACCACCGACAATTTACTCTGTCTAACAGAGACAATCTATAAAGAGAATAACTGGAAGCAACCCGTTGCAGCAGCATTTCTAGACGTGCAACGAGCCTTTGACTCTGTCTGGCACGAAGGCTTATACTACAGACTACTAGAGATCAACTGTCCGAAGTGGATTGTAAAATGGACCAAGAGTTTTCTGACAGACCGACAGTTAACAGTAGTATACCACCAAGCCAAAGCCGAAAGTTTCACACCCAGTGCAGGAGTACCACAAGGAAGTGTAATCAGTCCAATCCTTTTCAACATCTATGTAAGCAAACCAGAAGCAGGTCTAACAACAATATCACAATATGCCGACGACATAGCAATTTACACAAGTTCAAACACAAGCAAGAATGCAACACACAGACTACAAGGTGGCCTAAACAAACTTGAAGCATGGTGCCAGAAATGGAAGATAGACGTGAACCCGGAGAAGACAAACTTTGTACTTTTTACAAGACGCAAGAAGAATGACTGCAAATTAATGCTACAGAACGAAGAGATCGAACCATCAACAACCACTAAATTTCTTGGAGTTACCCTAAATAACAACCTGACATGGAAAGACTATCTACAAAGAATTGAAGACAAATCGACAAGGAAAATCAATTTTCTACTAGTACTACGAGCCAAAGGCATCAAATCCAAAGTCTTAAAGTTTTTGTACCAATCAACAATTCTACCAGGATTCACATACGCATCACCTTCGTGGGCAAACGCATCAACAAGTCACTTACAAAGATTGCAGAACAGAGCACTAAAAATAGCCTACCATCTACCAATACTAACACCAACAGAGGAAGTACATAAAATCACCAGGATGAAGACGATTCAAGATGAACTAACAAGACTAAACTCAAATTACCTCAAAAGAGCTTCACAGACAAACCCCAAGATACAAGAACTAATCCGAGACACTCTACAACAATCAACAGACACATACGCACACAGACTCACACCAATACAAGCAATTTTCCAACAACACCTTTCCGCAAGATGAACAACATCAAACGACACTCTACAACAATCAACAGACACAGACTCACACCAATACAAGCAATTTTCCAACAACAACTTTCCGCAAGATGAACAACACCCGGAAGTTAACAGCTTAAAGAGCAGCAGGTCTGCTTCAGAAGCTTAACTGGTCACAGACCAACACATACTTACATTGCTTCTACAACTCGACAACACCACAACTACAACTCTACAATGGCACCCAAAGTCAGCGGAAAGGCAGTCAAGAAGGCAGGCAAAGCCCAGAAGAAGCCCACTGGAGACAAGAAAAAGAAGAAGAAGAGGCGAGAGACCTACTCTCTCTACATCTACAAGGTGCTGAAGCAGGTCCACCCTGACACCGGCATCTCATCCAAGGCTATGTCGATCATGAACAGCTTCGTGAACGACATCTTCGAGAGAATCGCCGGTGAAGCTTCAAAACTGGCCCACTACAACAAGCGATCAACCATCTCTAGCCGGGAGATCCAAACCGCAGTCAGACTGCTGTTGCCCGGAGAGCTGGCCAAGCATGCTGTCAGTGAGGGAACCAAGGCCGTCACCAAGTACACCAGCTCCAAGTAGACGATCAGCTTCTACAACTAGTTGCTCTGAGCAACCCCAAACCGGCCTTTTTAAAGGCCACCAAAAAGCATAGTTCTCTTTGTACTCTAGCTAGCAAGCTCAAATTAGCTTGTATGCAATTTCGAGCTCTCAACAGCTAGCTTTGAGCGTCTAAT